AAATTTTAAAAATTTAAAATTTATTAAATCTACTAATGATTACAAATCTTAACCATTAAAAAGTGAATTGAAGGATCTTCTAATTCTTGTGAAATTGAAAAGGAATCAAATCCCTCTATTTGATTGAGCAAAATACGGCAGACAGAGCAAATTATCGTATATTAGTTATTTTGCATTGCCCTCTAAACCATCAATTTTCTCACATTACACTAAACTATCAATTTGAGTTTCCCATTGCTCCAATTGTAGACTTTTGTCCATATTTTAAAGGCAAATTAAGACATAAATGAAATTATGCCCAACTAAGAAGGGAAATGCCTCATCATCCAACATTGTGGGATTCTATTTTTGCCCTGATTTGTTGCACAAATTTGGACAATGTAAAATTTAAACCAATAATTTAAGGTGCAATATAAGAAAGTCGATAGTTTAAGAGAAAATATGATACGAGAGGTATAGTTCAAGGGGTCTAAATATAATTTAAACATAGTAGTAATTCTAAACCCGCTTGATTTATGGAGTGACATATTAAAAAATATAAAATAAAAGCAACTAAACTAATAGTAAAGCATACAGACTCATGACAACCTAGCTCAAATATGGAAAAAAAATGATGGAGGATTAAAAAAAATCAAACATTCTACCCAACATACCACTTTTCACGCTGTTTATTTGGCACCCCATAAACAACAAAATATTTAATGTAACAATAACATCACATCATCATTCTCATTCTCATTTTCACTCTCACGCAATGGTGTCTAATAAAATAACAAGTGAATATGCGTTCATAACTATCCTTGTATGTAATGTAATAACTATACATTTAAAGAAATAAGGTTTGTTTTTATCTATTTAGTCATTTTTCATTAAATAATAACATCACGTAATGATAATGATGTAGTAACAGCATTACATCGAATATTTACTCAAAATAAAACAGACAGAATGAGTGGCAGGTCAAATGTAAGTTAATAAATATAGAATCCAATTATAAACAATGGGTCCCATTCACATTAATGATAGATAATTCAATAAAAAAAAATAAGAGAGAACGTATTGGAGAAGATCTCAATCGTCCATTTTTTGGGAATTGAATCAAATGAATCTTCATATTTATTTATTTATTGCCTTTCCCAAGTGATCACACATTAACAAACACATTCTATCAGTATGCCTGAATCTATAGAAGCAGCATTCATAACTGTAGGAGACAACACATATTGGATAGGAACAGTTTCTAAGCCATCAGAATAAGTTGCTTGAACAAATTAAATCAGTTTCTTACATAAGCACCTGGTATAACAAGCACCAACTGTTCCCAGATGCATGAGGGAGGTGTCAGAACAGACAATTGGAATTCCTGCCTAGTGTATGCTAAAAAAATACATGACTCAACTAATCTGGAAAACGAAAAGAAAAAAAATAATAATCATCATCAAGTCTTTCATGGCAGATGGTCTCTACTTCAACTATTGTCTACAAGGCAAATGAAACAACTTTGTATGGACATTTGAGAGTTGGACATCATGTTAGCAATTGTTTTCTCAACAAGTTATGATGGCGTTCGAATATCACTTTCACAGAACCTCCACGAACCATCATCTTGCCTCTTTAGAACATAACGAATTTTATAAGTGCTGCAATCAGTAAGTCAAAGTTTCAGCCAAAATTGAGAATAATATATATACACACAAATAACAAATGCTAATGAAAGAGAGAACTGCAAAGAGAAATTTAGCAGAAGGAGATAGGTTGTATTAACAACACCCAGAGTATCGGTAGCAATTCCCTAAATTAAGAAATTGAAGGAAGCATGCAAATTATTTAACATTTGAGAAGGATTTGATTTCACAACAAAAAAAGTAACAAAAGGACTGCAACTTCGGCAGGTTTAACAGTTGAACCAGAGTTTGCAATGAGGTTTTTCACATCAGGATTAGACTTCATTCAAAGACAAACAAAAATTATGNAGAGAACGTATTGGAGAAGATCTCAATCGTCCATTTTTTGGGAATTGAATCAAATGAATCTTCATATTTATTTATTTATTGCCTTTCCCAAGTGATCACACATTAACAAACACATTCTATCAGTATGCCTGAATCTATAGAAGCAGCATTCATAACTGTTGGAGACAACACATATTGGATAGGAACAGTTTCTAAGCCATCAGAATAAGTTGCTTGAACAAATTAAATCAGTTTCTTACATAAGCACCTGGTATAACAACCACCAACTGTTCCCAGATGCATGAGGGAGGTGTCAGAACAGACAATTGGATTTCCTGCCTAGTGTATGCTAAAAAAATACATGGCTCAACTAATCTGGAAAACGAAAAGAAAAAAAATAATAATCATCATCAAGTCTTTCATGACAGATGGTCTCTACTTCAACTATTGTCTACAAGGCAAATGAAACAACTTTGTATGGACATTTGAGAGTTGGACATCATGTTAGCAATTGTTTTCTCAACAAGTTATGATGGCGTTCGAATATCACTTTCACAGAACCTCCACGAACCATCATCTTGCCTCTTTAGAACATAACGAATTTTATAAGTGCTGCAATCAGTAAGTCAAAGTTTCAGCCAAAATTGAGAATAATATATATACACAAAAATAACAAATGCTAATGAAAGAGAGAACTGCAAAGAGAAATTTAGCAGAAGGAGATAGGTTGAATTAACAACACCCAGAGTATCGGTAGCAATTCCCTAAATTAAGAAATTGAAGGAAGCATGCAAATTATTTAACATTTGAGAAGGATTTGATTTCACAACAAAAAAAGTAACAAAAGGACTGCAACTTCGGCAGGTTTAACAGTTGAACCAGAGTTTGCAATGAGGTTTTTCACATCAGGATTAGACTTCATTCAAAGACAAACAAAAATTATGGTTGGATTGGGATTCAGGCAAGTCCTTCGGCTGACCAAGCACAAGCACAGTTTGACATTATTCATATCACTTATAATACTTCTAAATATAGATAATGACCTAGTCGGTCTAACATGGACTCTCCTGCATACTTTGAGTACCTGTAACACAAACACATGGGTATCCGAGTCGAAGATGTATTCAACAACTCTAGCACCAAGCATGTCTGATTACTCTTCTATTGTGTTCACTTAGTCACATGGCAACTTCCAAAGATTGAAGTTTCGAAAACTCTGAGCTACATTAGAACACCATTTTACCCAACAAAAGAGAATAATTATACTAAAGAATACTTAAAAATTTAGCCATGTCCTCGTGTTCTCGAACTAAGAACATAGATGAATCTGAAGCTTGGACACATGACTTGACCAATGACCAAGTTCAAGTACTCAAACGCAAGTTAAATGCTGCAAAGCTATGCTTACATACATCTATTTCATATGTCAAGGGTAATGCACAAGCATTTAAAAACTGAGAGAAACTAGTTTTCACACACTTTGTATTTTGTTGAAAAACAAACAAGATAATTGCCTCCACATGTTCCATAAAATACAGTGCCAAAATTATGATTCTAAGTATATTGATTGTTTGAGTGATTCTCATTTTCCAATTCCTCAATCCCCTATACCTGTCTTTTTGTAAAACAAACTTACAATTGTAATACATTTTTGACTGACTGATACGAGAAATAAGATGCACAGAAAGTTTACGTTTAAATAACCACCATGATAGCCCAGACACTAGCCTACCTCACCCAACACCTCTTGAACTTCAACCATGGGATGGGTTTGGCTGACATTGCTGGTCTCCTCAAGCCTTTCTGGTTGGTCTAAGGTTTTCCATCAACCCCACCCAAAGTTATGAAGTTACAGACATTAAAATGACTCAAACAAGCAAAAATCCAGAATCATATGTCCAATTATCTTGGATTACAGTTACCTGTAATAATTCGGGTTCTTTGGCCTAGATTCATCCACAAGTTCAGCTGCTTCCTCCAGGAGAGCCTCTATTTCTGCCATCTCCTTACCTTCCCGATCTGATATAATGTCTGCTCGCAGGATTGACAATTGCAGCAAGACAAATCTCCAAAAACACGACCTAGCTTTTGCTTCATCAGCCAAAGCTTGCCACTGTGGTCCAATTACATATTTGAAAAGAAAACAAGTTAACAGTAAGCAACTGACAAGAAATAGACGGGGTTCAAAAGGAACCAAAAAAATAACCAAATCAACAAAGTTTAACAAAAAGGCAGGATCTTGTCTATCCTTTTACTTTTGATGGAACCACAAAAAGTATAAGTCAACAATTGGTTTCTGGCCATTACATAATGTTCAAGAACTCAAATTTGAGAGGTTTGTTACTTCAGCGAAGGAATGGAATTGAAATCAAATCAAATAAACCCTAGAAAGCTTGTTCCACACGATTGCGATGCGAGACAGATCTCTAATCATTGCATGAATAGATGACTATCTCAGGAGGGGAGTGGCAAAATATTTATTTGGCACAAAGTTGAGAACCGTAATTGTGCATTAAATTCATTCTTTCCATTAACCTTTTTTCCCTTTGAGAGGTAGCTTTATGTCAGGTTATTACAGGAATAACACATGATTCAAATGATATAGATAAACAATTTTAGGGATACTCAGAAGCACACAAATACGCCAATAATCCATACAGCTCACCTGAACAAGCATCGACTCATCTAGGACTTCAAAGAGGACATGAATTTCATGATTAGGGCCAAGAGCTTCGGCTTTAGTAGCTTCCCACTGCTTAACAAGGTTTTCAGCTTCATCCATGGGCATTGGCCTCTTGAATACTGTGGTCATAGATGACACTGCACTGGCAGAAAGGCAAGAATCTTGCAAATCTGCAGCATCTGGGTGGCTCCTGGGCTGCAGCTTAATCACTGACAACAACTTCTTAAGTCCACCAGCAACAGCATTTCCTTTAATGCAAAGAGGGTNAAGCATCGACTCATCTAGGACTTCAAAGAGGACATGAATTTCATGATTAGGGCCAAGAGCTTCGGCTTTAGTAGCTTCCCACTGCTTAACAAGGTTTTCAGCTTCATCCATGGGCATTGGCCTCTTGAATACTGTGGTCATAGATGACACTGCACTGGCAGAAAGGCAAGAATCTTGCAAATCTGCAGCATCTGGGCGGCTCCTGGGCTGCAGCTTAATCACTGACAACAACTTCTTAAGTCCACCAGCAACAGCATTTCCTTTAATGCAAAGAGGCTCGAAACTTGGATCTAGAGAAGAATCTGTAGCTGGGGCAAGGAAACTTGTATGCACCCTTTGTTTGTTCAAATCCCATCTCGATGCACTTCTCATCCTCCACAACTGCATACCCATTAGCTTAAAGGTAGCAAACAAAAAGCATCCCAATGCTGTAACAAAAACTATCTTTCCAGCCATGTTATTTGGGGCTAACCATATTTCCCAAAACTTTTTGTGATGTGCACCAAAATTTCTTTTCAATTGAACCGATGGTTTGCTACCATTGCTTCCACTGTCAGTCTTGCCTTCTATGAATGGGCCCTGCAAATTGGAGGGAGCTAACTGCTTTACCGCTGAGCCAAGATGTCGAGATAAATCTGTACATGAAACTGATTCCTCAAGAGCTCGATTATGCAATGGAATAGCAGGGGAAAGTGATCTATGGTTCAACTCCGATGGAGTCTGTGGAGCTCTTTTATTTTGAATGTTTCCAGAAGCTCGCTTTTCGCTGCGAAAAAAGTTTACCTGCATAGACACATTACCAGTTTGCTTATCTTTATTTCCATCGAGCATTATGATATATAATCAGATCATTATAAAATTACCAAAGATGGAGAACAATCTCGCGTATCTGGGAACAAGCCAAGCACGGCATCCTTCAGCCATGTTTCCTGGTCAATCCAAGAAGCGTTTTAGTGTGACAAAATATTGACCGTGGAGACAAATATTAAGTTTGCAGTGAAGATGGCATCAAATAGATGANTTCTTGGCACTTCTTCTATCATTACCTAGCCGAAGCATCCCAAACGTTAGTCAACCTTGTAATCTTTATCCTGCCTCAAGTTAACTCTAATAATCATACTCTTATACATATTAACCTTAAGCTCATATATAACACCCAATACATGAACAATTTTTTCAAGATCCAAATTTTGCATCATCCCCCAAGAAACAGAAAATGGTATCATTTGCAAGTGTGACATCGAAACCCTCTCTAGTAACAACAAATTCATCCACAAGATTACACCTTTCTATCCTCACCAATAGTCTACTTAACCTATCAACTATCAAAGTAAGCAAAAAGGGAGATAATGGATCCCCCTTGTCTAAGCGCNGGGGGTGCTTAGGACAATTACAAGGACCTATTTAAGCTTGATGTACTCTGATTATTTGGCTTACCAAAAAACCAAATTTATGCCTGTGTTCATAAATCGATGCAAAAACATCAGAATATATAATCTGGTGAACAAAAAAAAGGCATACCAGCGATTGGTTTGCACTTGAAACACCTCTTATTTCCTTCCCCAATGTTGAATTTTGAGGAGTGGGGTTTGAATTTAATTCAATCTGCTGAAGCCTTGCAACAGCCATTGCCTCATTATCCTGGATAACAATCCTCAGTATTCAGAAAGAGAAAGGCCAAATGTAGAATAAAGAAAAAAGAAAAAGCAAATAAAAATATACCTGTCCAAGAAGGAACGAGCAAAACGCTTCCTCAAATTTTAAATCAATGCCTTCTGATGCTATTAAACACTCACAAATTGTTTTTGCCTTGTTAATCTATATGAGAGTGATCAAAATATCAACATGAATTAGATATGAAACTTAACAGATCGTATAGTATAAGCAAGCATCAGTTTGATAGAATCGGTACAAGATCCATTAGATCAGAGCCATCAGCCATGTCATATTTGCAACAGAGAGATATTTTCCGAATTACTAGAGGAAAACTAGATCAAGGGTTTAAATCCAGAATTCGAAAGAGCATTACCAAGTCTGTTTGCTTGCTCGAAAATCCAAGGGCAATATGAGCTATCAGCACTACATAGAAACAATTAAAATCTATGACAACTCTTTGATTCTGCGACTCTAGTGATTTTTTATTCTTCCGTGTCATCGCCAAATTATCCCAAGGAAGAAGTTCAACCATCTCCATAGCCATGAGCTTCTTGAGCGCTTGATTCAAGAAGCAAGGCCAATCTTGGACTTGGCATGAAGTTTCAACATCAAGACCCTGTCTGAGCAATTCACGCAAGGCTGCAATGGCTCCTAGTCTTCTTTCAGCATTTTCAGGTGTGTGAGGCATGCCTAATAACTCCAATGTGCAGGCAGGCGCAAGCTCTTCCAAAGATTCTTCAATCTAAAACCAATTTGCAAATACAAATAGTGTAATAAACAAGCAATCACATCAAAACAAAAGCTAGTAAAAGTAGTAGAGAACTGAGACAATAAAATAATAGCACCATTCTTGGTCCAACGTAAAATTTCCATGAAAGCAGTTTCACCTAGAGAACAATATCTTAACCATCTAGATTACTAGAGCTTTGTGAGCATTTGAATTTTATTTTCTCAATCTCCATTTTTCTATTAGTCTTTCTTGTCTTATTCTTTTGGTGTACCCTGACCAGTATATTTAGACAAGTCAGATATCTACAACCAGACCCATTCCCGTTGCAGCGGGATGGATATACTGAAGTAACTGAACCAGGAAACAAGCAAGAGACCCATATAAAAATGTATGGGGGCAGAAACACACAACTAAAAGGAATTTTACCTGAGATAACAACGTCATCTTCCCAAGTGATATTTTGCTCCTAAGAAGACACTGAGCACGCGCAAGAGCTTCAAATCCTTGGGAAATATTGTTCTTCTCGAAACCAAGTTTAGCAATTGCACACTTCAAGAAAGCACCTATAATAAGAAAAGGAAGCATAACAAAACTGCCAGAAAAAAAGTGGTAAAAGCTAGGACCTCTTCTGCTTTGTCTTACCTCTGCCAGTGCCATGGACAGAAGCAAATCATGTATGTAAGCCTTAGCATCTGGATTCTGTAGGGCTCTTCGGCCAATATCTAGAACAAGCTTCTCTTCCCCGACCTAAATCAAAGAAATCAAATGCCATCATAGCCATAATCCAAACCAAGAGATTTACATTATGCATAGCAATCAGTATTTGCATTCGTGCTGCAAAGAAAGCATAGACATTTCCAGATTTCTGAGAGAGAGAGAGAGAGATCTAAAACGGAAACGAGAAACAAAAAAAACCTGATGCAACACTCAAAACCAAGGTGAGAATGGAGCCATATTACAACAGAGCACCAAAAAAGTACCTCCTGGAGAAGGCAAAGAGCACCAGGCAACCAAGTCCAAGGAATTCGGAGAGAGGATTTAGGCAGGACCTTGTCCTTTATATTACCAGCATATTCAGGTTCAAAAAGAAGCTTATCCCTCACATCCATCAAGAGATTCTGTAACATTAATATATGCACATATATACAAAAATAAGCATAATAACAAAGAACATACCAAAAAAGGCTGTTCACTAAATTCTGTAAGTTAAGCAAAATACAGGACTATCTTCAATACCTGGCGAGATACAACGGCATCCATGGTGTACCCTTCTTCAATCTCAGCATTTTTCAGATGCATAACTGACTTAACAATCTCATCTTTCTCTGACTGATTAGGAATACCAAGAACCTGCAGGATATATAATCAAACTAAATCATTGTTTTTGTTGGTTAAAAGAGGCAGAGATAAAGATGCTCAAAGTCACAAGAAGACTAGATCCCCAATCTCTTCAGCAGAAAACCCACTGAGACACCAACTTATAATGAGTGAGATGCTGCATAATGAGTTCATGGTACAGAGCATATTTAGGCTTTGAATTCCCAGCAGAATAAGATTATCTGGTAAATTTGTGATTTAAAAAATAAATGCCAAAAAACGCTTGAGACACCTGACATATGATTTCTTTTTGAACAAAACCAAGAGTGTATGACCTGTAGAGGAGTATCAACAAAAGCCGAAGCATGTTTCCCACTGTGAAGAAGGATGTCCTGATTAGAACAGTATCTAATCATTACCTAATGTTCTTGGCACTTCTTCTATCATTACCTAGCCGAAGCATCCCAAACGTTAGTCAACCTTGTAATCTTTATCCTGCCTCAAGTTAACTCTAATAATCATACTCTTATACATATTAACCTTAAGCTCATATATAACACCCAATACATGAACAATTTTTTCAAGATCCAAATTTTGCATCATCCCCCAAGAAACAGAAAATGGTATCATTTGCAAGTGTGACATCGAAACCCTCTCTAGTAACAACAAATTCGTCCACAAGATTACACCTTTCTATCCTCATCAATAGTCTACTTAACCTATCAACTATCAAAGTAAGCAAAAAGGGAGATAATGGATCCCCCTTGTCTAAGCCCCCTTGCCTCAAACGGTCAAACCTTCCCCTTGGTTTGCCAATTAGAATGAATGGAAAGTTCATAGACTGCAGGAAACCTTTAATCCAACTCCTCCACGTTTCACCGTGGCCCTTCATCTCCAAAACAAAGTCGAAGAAATTTCAATCCACACAGTCATAAGCCTTCTCAAAATCGTTCTTATGGCAATGCCCTCCACACTTTTAGATCTATGGTCTTCAACCGCCTCAATAGACACCAAAGGCACATCTAAAAATTGTCTCCCTTTGACAAATGCACATTGAAACCCTGAAGCAATACCATTTGAACTCCCTGTAAGCCATGTTAATAGCACTTTTGCAATAAACTTATAAAGCTCGTGACTAATCGGCCTAAAGTCCATGATCCTAATTGAGCTTTCTTTTTTGGAATGAGACAAATAAAAGTGGCATTAGCTATAACATTCACCACACCACTCTAGAAAAACCATCAAACACTTTCAACAAATCTCCTTTCACCACCTCTCAACATTCTTGAAAAATAGTCCTAGTGAAGCCATCTGGTCCAAGGGTCTTATCATTGTTGCATTCAAGGATGTCATTCTTAATTGCGGCCAATTGTTAGTATGGCATCATCTTTATCCTTCCCCATATGTTGAAATTCAATTTCTTTATAAGCTTGTCTATTCTTGATAACCTAGTTTTGAGTTAGTCTTCTATTGGTAAAAAGAGACCGATCATTTGTTCTGCGGGGGAATTTTCTCTTGTAAATCGTTTCCTCAATCTATGATTGATAACTCCATTTTTCCAAGTTTTGAGTCATCATATATGATTTGGAAGCCCAAGGCATAATATAGGCTCAAAATGTGATTGGTTAATAACGCATAAGAAACTTTATGTAAATGATATGATTCAAAAAAGACGTCATCTACTTTTATCTCCATAGTCCATTTTTAAGGGTGTATCCTTTGTAGCTACGTTGAGGAATTCATAAATGTGTTCATAGTTCTTCTATAGCCTAATTATTTCGAAAGCTGTGGAATAGATTAATAAAGATGTGGGTGATCCCACGATTTTGTGAATCAATTTTCACCACTAAATTGTGGGGCTTTGGAACAAACAAGAGAGCGAAGCTCTGGCAATCATGTGAATGTTATGGTTGAAAAGAAATGAAAGTTTCTTTGACAACTTAGAACTTTCACAAGAAGAATTATGGGATAAGATTTTGTCATTGGCATCCCTTTAGGCTACAACTTTAAAAAGATAGTGAGGAGGTTCCTTTATTTTTTTTTAATACTTGGGTGCAAGTGTGTGAGTGAAATGTAATATGTTGATTTTTCTTTTGTTTTCTTCTACAATTTGTACTTCTTGAGGACACCTAATATCTTTTTGGTTTTCTAAAAGAAAGACAAGAACCAAAGTGATGTGTGACGTGTGTCCAAGCATGGTTGTATATGTAAATAAAGATCACAATCACCGAATTGAGCTATTTGGGTTTGATTTGTTTTTGGCTCATTCAACCTCGCTCATTTTGTAATATGAGTCAATTAGCCAAATATAAATAATTTTTTGAGGTTGATTTTATTCGAGCCAAGCCCGAGCTTCTCATGAGCCCAGTCCACAATATGTCATTTACATATTTTGATACTTATCCCATTCAGAATATATCCCCCCAAATGAAAATATTGTGGCTTTTAAACGATATATTGGTCAAAGTAGCAAAGTTAACATTAAAAAATGAGCAGCCCTTCATGTGAGTCTCTCTCTCTCATTCTCGATATCTGCGNAAAGCATAGACATTTCCAGATTTCTGAGAGAGAGAGAGAGAGATCTAAAACGGAAACGAGAAACAAAAAAAACCTGATGCAACACTCAAAACCAAGGTGAGAATGGAGCCATATTACAACAGAGCACCAAAAAAGTACCTCCTGGAGAAGGCAAAGAGCACCAGGCAACCAAGTCCAAGGAATTCGGAGAGAGGATTTAGGCAGGACCTTGTCCTTTATATTACCAGCATATTCAGGTTCAAAAAGAAGCTTATCCCTCACATCCATCAAGAGATTCTGTAACATTAATATATGCACATATATACAAAAATAAGCATAATAACAAAGAACATACCAAAAAAGGCTGTTCACTAAATTCTGTAAGTTAAGCAAAATACAGGACTATCTTCAATACCTGGCGAGATACAACGGCATCCATGGTGTACCCTTCTTCAATCTCAGCATTTTTCAGATGCATAACTGACTTAACAATCTCATCTTTCTCTGACTGATTAGGAATACCAAGAACCTGCAGGATATATAATCAAACTAAATCATTGTTTTTGTTGGTTAAAAGAGGCAGAGATAAAGATGCTCAAAGTCACAAGAAGACTAGATCCCCCATCTCTTCAGCAGAAAACCCACTGAGACACCAACTTATAATGAGTGAGATTTTTCNTTGGTTAAAAGAGGCAGAGATAAAGATGCTCAAAGTCACAAGAAGACTAGATCCCCAATCTCTTCAGCAGAAAACCCACTGAGACACCAACTTATAATGAGTGAGATGCTGCATAATGAGTTCATGGTACAGAGCATATTTAGGCTTTGAATTCCCAGCAGAATAAGATTATCTGGTAAATTTGTGATTTAAAAAATAAATGCCAAAAAACGCTTGAGACACCTGACATATGATTTCTTTNGAGTCAATTAGCCAAATATAAATAATTTTTTGAGGTTGATTTTATTCGAGCCAAGCTCGAGCTTCTCATGAGCCCAGTCCACAATATGTCATTTACATATTTTGATACTTATCCCATTCAGAATATATCCCCCCCAAATGAAAATATTGTGGCTTTTAAACGATATATTGGTCAAAGTAGAAAAGTTAACATTAAAAAATGAGCAGCCCTTCATGTGAGTCTCTCTCTCTCATTCTCGATATCTGTGNTTTTGAACAAAACCAAGAGTGTATGACCTGTAGAGGAGTATCAACAAAAGCCGAAGCATGTTTCCCACTGTGAAGAAGGATGTCCTGATTAGAACAGTATCTAATCATTACCTAATGTTCTTGGCACTTCTTCTATCATTACCTAGCCGAAGCATCCCAAACGTTAGTCAACCTTGTAATCTTTATCCTGCCTCAAGTTAACTCTAATAATCATACTCTTATACATATTAACCTTAAGCTCATATATAAAACCCAATACATGAACAATTTTTTCAAGATCCAAATTTTGCATCATCCCCCAAGAAACAGAAAATGGTATCATTTGCAAGTGTGACATCGAAACCCTCTCTAGTAACAACAAATTCGTCCACAAGATTACACCTTTCTATCCTCATCAATAGTCTACTTAACCTATCAACTATCAAAGTAAGCAAAAAGGGAGATAATGGATCCCCCTTGTCTAAGCCCCCTTGCCTCAAACGGTCAAACCTTCCCCTTGGTTTGCCAATTAGAATGAATGGAAAGTTCATAGACTGCAGGAAACCTTTAATCCAACTCCTCCACGTTTCACCGTGGCCCTTCATCTCCAAAACAAAGTCGAAGAAATTTCAATCCACACAGTCATAAGCCTTCTCAAAATCGTTCTTATGGCAATGCCCTCCACACTTTTAGATCTATGGTCTTCAACCGCCTCAATAGACACCAAAGGCACATCTAAAAATTGTCTCCCTTTGACAAATGCACATTGAAACCCTGAAGCAATACCATTTGAACTCCCTGTAAGCCATGTTAATAGCACTTTTGCAATAAACTTATAAAGCTCGTGACTAATCGGCCTAAAGTCCATGATCCTAATTGAGCTTTCTTTTTTGGAATGAGACAAATAAAAGTGGCATTAGCTATAACATTCACCACACCACTCTAGAAAAACCATCAAACACTTTCAACAAATCTCCTTTCACCACCTCTCAACATTCTTGAAAAATAGTCCTAGTGAAGCCATCTGGTCCAAGGGTCTTATCATTGTTGCATTCAAGGATGTCATTCTTAATTGCGGCCAATTGTTAGTATGGCATCATCTTTATCCTTCCCCATATGTTGAAATTCAATTTCTTTATAAGCTTGTCTATTCTTGATAACCTAGTTTTGAGTTAGTCTTCTATTGGTAAAAAGAGACCGATCATTTGTTCTGCGGGGGAATTTTCTCTTGTAAATCGTTTCCTCAATCTATGATTGATAACTCCATTTTTCCAAGTTTTGAGTCATCATATATGATTTGGAAGCCCAAGGCATAATATAGGCTCAAAATGTGATTGGTTAATAACGCATAAGAAACTTTATGTAAATGATATGATTCAAAAAAGACGTCATCTACTTTTATCTCCATAGTCCATTTTTAAGGGTGTATCCTTTGTAGCTACGTTGAGGAATTCATAAATGTGTTCATAGTTCTTCTATAGCCTAATTATTTCGAAAGCTGTGGAATAGATTAATAAAGATGTGGGTGATCCCACGATTTTGTGAATCAATTTTCACCACTAAATTGTGGGGCTTTGGAACAAACAAGAGAGCGAAGCTCTGGCAATCATGTGAATGTTATGGTTGAAAAGAAATGAAAGTTTCTTTGACAACTTAGAACTTTCACAAGAAGAATTATGGGATAAGATTTTGTCATTGGCATCCCTTTAGGCTACAACTTTAAAAAGATAGTGAGGAGGTTCCTTTATTTTTTTTTAATACTTGGGTGCAAGTGTGTGAGTGAAATGTAATATGTTGATTTTTCTTTTGTTTTCTTCTACAATTTGTACTTCTTGAGGACACCTAATATCTTTTTGGTTTTCTAAAAGAAAGACAAGAACCAAAGTGATGTGTGACGTGTGTCCAAGCATGGTTGTATATGTAAATAAAGATCACAATCACCGAATTGAGCTATTTGGGTTTGATTTGTTTTTGGCTCATTCAACCTCGCTCATTTTGTAATATGAGTCAATTAGCCAAATATAAATAATTTTTTGAGGTTGATTTTATTCGAGCCAAGCTCGAGCTTCTCATGAGCCCAGTCCACAATATGTCATTTACATATTTTGATACTTATCCCATTCAGAATATATCCCCCCAAATGAAAATATTGTGGCTTTTAAACGATATATTGGTCAAAGTAGCAAAGTTAACATTAAAAAATGAGCAGCCCTTCATGTGAGTCTCTCTCTCTCATTCTCGATATCTGCGTCCTCTTCTTCTCCCTAACCCCTCAGTCTCTCTCACTTTCGCATCACTATTTTCTCCTCTTCTACACACGCTCCACCTCACTGTTCTTGGTCTATCATTTTTGTCATGATATCACTCTTTAGCCACCATGATCCACTAACACCATGACTCCTCACCATCCTCAACTCAAGCCCCAAATGAAATCACCACCACCTATCCCCAACAAATTGGTGTCAGAAAACATGAGTAATTAATTGTCAAAGGTCGTCCGAAGGTGCATGTGTGTACACAATTGTATATTCAATGTGTAACTTTTATTGCAATTTAGAATTTTTTGAGGCTATGGTTTGTGTTTAGATTTATATTTTAGTGAAATATATCTGAAATTTATGGTTTTGAGATTTTTTTTCTCTCATATTAGTCGTAGGAATTTGAGATTTGTGGATTTTGATTTGTAAATTGGGAATTTATTTTCGAGGCCAGTTTTCGAGCTTGTACTGAATCGAGCTTGAGCAATAACTTGAATTCAATATCCGAGATTGAGCCAAGCTTAAACACCCTTTCAACACTTCAAGTTGAGCCTCAGCATGTCGAAACTCGGAAAGCGCGGCTCAATTCTCATCTCTAATCACCCATGAGAAGATATCCAATAACATAATAAAGGAGCAACAATTCGAAGCTACAACTCATGAAAAAGAAAATAGCTTAGATAAATTAAAGTATAGAGTCAGGGATGGAAAATTAAGTGCAAAGTTTACAAAGACATACTTCAAGACCATTGACAATGACGATTCAAGGCACTTTTCTACAAAATATTTCCTTACCAGAAATTTTGGCATTATGTCGTCCAAGTCAAAAGAACTAAAAAGCAAACTACTCAGGACATTGACAAAATGTGATTTATAATAAAAGGGAAGATCTGATACCAAGTGCAATTACCTCAATACAAATTGAGTATCTGAACCCCCAAAGAGTTTCAATAAATGTTTTAAGATTCCGTATATTACAAAGCTATTTGAGTCTCAAAAACTATCAAGAGGATTACTAACCTCCCTTTTTATTTGTCATTTGCTTTGCCCTAGTAAGTGAGGAACAAGAAGCGAAAAACAATTAAGTTGTCCAATGAAATATTTGGAGTTGAACTCAAAAAAATTGAATCAATAACTTCTTTGACACTATAATTTGGCTAACCTTTCGTCTAAATACTGAATGAATCATTTTAGGGTTTTGCATGGTAGAAAGGGCCCAATTTGTCAACGAGTGCCCACTATTGACACCTGTAGTCAAAACAACTCAACAACCCTCCTTTGCCCTTTGGTTTGCACTTCATCTCATAAAAAGTCAAAGCTAATTGTGCAATACAATCTACACTTAGCAACTAGATTTGAGCTTATAAAACAACTAGATTTGAGCTTGTACGATTGTAAAAAAGACTAGATATGAGCTTGTACGACAGTAAAAAAGACTATATTTGAGCTTGTACGACAGTAAATATAGCCTCTCCAATCCTAATTCCATGTGTGTGTGAGAGAGAGAGAGAGAGAGAGAGAAATTGTGCGATGATGCTATACTCAATTGGTTGTTGATAAAACATAGGAAAAGAGAAGATAACAAATATCCACAAAAATTACATTTATCCACAATCCAAAGAGAAATATGTGATACATCGTCACCTAAATGCAGCATTTGGTAATTATGGTATGGCTCTCACAAGTTCTATATATATATTGCACGTACTTGTGGGTGTTTTTGTGTATACATAGTTGTGCTTGGGTATAAGAATTCGACATCACTTATTTGTTTCTGATATCTCTTTCTTTTGCAACCAAAAGGACTCAAAACGCATAGCTCAAATCCTTTGTGTTTGTTTTTTTTTTTTTTGTGTGTTTACTCCATTTTGCCATCAACAAAAAATGAGAAAGAGTTATTACCTAGTTTGGCCCCTATGAATCGAGGATGTTGAGATGAAATTATTGGATCCAGACCTAAGTTTGGGTATTATTGGCACAAGGTGATTGCTCTCATATTCAAACCCACAACTTGCTGTTAACCAGCGCTTTTACCTAGCAATGGCAACCATCAACCAAAACTAGGAGCCTAGAACCCTTAATTTTAATCTCAGGGGAACCATACTTTTCAATGTTGAAGTACAATCCGATTACCATTTTGGTCCTTAAACTTCCTGTTTTCCAATTTCTTCCTTGAAGTTTGACCGTTGCATGTAATTGGTCCAATTGGTAAAAACACTCAACTTTTGTGACCAAAAAAGACGTGTGTTGCGAACACGATGCTAAATGAAGAGCATTGATTGGAAACATAAAACAAATATTACAGCATTGTACTTAAATTATCAATTGATTCCCACTTTGGTCCTCAATTTTTTTGCTTCAGTTTAATCCCTTCACCTTAGATTTAGTGTCGATTTAATCACATCACCGTCTCACACCACTGGCCCACAACCACTGGATAGCTTTGCCTTCATCAAAGTTCCCTATTTTACTCTTCCCATCAAAACTCTCTCTTCAATTTTTCTTCACAAACCAAAACCCATGTCAAAAACTAATGTAATTTTTGAACCCCATCAAAAAATAAAAACTTCAAGGACGTAATGGGAATCAGATGATACTTGATGTGGAAGTGTAATCAAGTACTTTTTATTTACGAATACCAGTTTAAGTAGTGTGCACATGGCCTTTTCTGTCCAAATTTGACTGCAATTACCAACTAGACCCATTAAACACGATGCTAAATTTGAATGACAAAGTTTGACCAAAAAAAACATTAGAACATAAATGCTATGTGCGCCAAACACCAAATGATACGGCACAAATATAAGTATCGGATGTTTAGGGGATCCAACAACCCTATTGATTTGATGCAAGAAACTTGTTTTTTATGAG